TTTCTAGCCAAAGGCAACAAAACAAGGCGCTTAACCAAACTCTTTTTCACCTCACTCAATTGGGTTCAGGTTACTTGATAGTTCAGGTTTGGGTTGGTGGCTGTGGTTAAATTTTATTTTCCCTGGAGATGGGCCCTACCTGAAAGCCCTGGAGTATTCAAAATTCAAACCCAAAAATGAATGTAAATTTTGCAATAGACCCTTCTGTAGACAGGCAGAAACCACAGATTCAAATGTCCGCAGACTTTGGTTCTTTGAGATGGAGACATTTTCATGACTTTGTATCTTCCCTTACTAATCCTGACAACATGTTTTATTTCTACCAATACCTAATTCATCACATGCCTGCAAAGTATGTGAATTCACTTTATTTGCAAGCAAACTGAAAACTAGAGCATTTTGCTTGACTCAGATCAGACAACAAATCAAGGACAGAGATGGAATGTTACCTAATATTGCCATTTATCACCATTTGTAGTTAGAAGCATATAATCTATAATAAATTAATTTGCCAGGCTAAGCTTAAAGCAGGTGGGGTTCTTTTGGACTCAGTTTCTGCCTGCATCCTAAGATGATAAGAGATCCTAAGATCTCTTAGGATCCTAAGTAATACAGAAACATACCTTAGGAATGTCTATAGACATGTTTTGACATTTTACATATTCTCAGATCCCACTCTGTGTTCCTGCTGTGCAAGGTGTAAGAAAACAGGTATCTCTCTGGGTAACAACATTTGGGTACAGAGACTCCAATTTGCAGGTCACATATATAAATACTGAAGTGCATACTGAAGAAGTGAATTAAATATAGTCACTTAAAGGCTAATAATTTTGTCATTTGCAAGCCAAAGTTTAATCCAGATAAAAGCTTAGCATAAACAAGATGGGAACTAAGAACCTCATCTTCTGACTTGCTTGACAAGCTTACTTGTAAATAGTAAGTTACTTATCACAGCTGTGAACTGTTATTTTGTTAGTCTACTTGATTGAACCTAGCAATAAAACAAAATGTTTGTTTTATTATAATGGCAGTAGGGTGAGGTCTTCTTGCTAACTGCTGCATGTTTACCTACAAATCCAGATTTATCACAAGGAATTCCCTCAAACTCTGTGTTAAGGCAATGAAGAAGTGTACTGTCACAGTCACCAAAAAACCTCATAATGAGATAATGAAATCCATTTAAATCAATGTGTATTAGTCACTGGTGGGATCTGCTTCAATGACTCACTGAGCAACTTTGTGAATCAGAGAACTAAATTATTGCTTACCATAGCTATGCTCCTTTATTCCTCAAATCCAAAATATACTCTGTTAGAAGGAAAATTGGATTAATTTTCACTGCAGAAGTGTTTTGAATTCTAAATTACTACTCTGCAAATACTCAGTTTAACTCCTTTTCTCTCCTGTGAATACACTGAAATACATTTAATTCACTGAAATTCGGAAGTGTCAATTAGCTGCCAACATCAATTTTGACCTGCACCAGGTTCAGTCTCAAGCTTGAGCCAACCAGTGCAGATTCAAAATTTCCTAAAATTTGTTAGGTTTTGTTTGGAATTAATACAAGAAAACTGTCACCCTATCTTCCTATAAACCTACAGCAAAATTTGTATCTCTTATTTTAGGAGTCCTCCCTCTGCAGGGGAGGAGCTGCTACATGGCATCTCCTCAAGCTTCTGACTGGCTGCCATCCACACAGAACAGAACCTGGTAGATCACATGGGTCTCCAAAAGCTGTGGGACTAACTCTAGGGGCTGGGGCAAACATTCAGTCCTCAGAGAACAGAACCAAGGATTTCTTGGTGACAAAGCGGTATTTTACACTCAGTTTGGGATCCCAGAGTTATCTTAAGAGTCCTCAAACCCACCAGTGCAACTATGCCTAGAAAATCTTGCAACTAGGCAGAGAAAGACACTAAGGCCCTCCATCTCTCCCAGACAGGATTCTGAGAAATGCTCATGGTCCTGACAGCCTGGCAAAGACAAGGTGAACACTAACTTTCTATATACTGCAGAGAGACACTGTAGGAATGTGTAGATGGCATCACAGACTCAAAAAGCAAGAAGCCAACAGTTGCCTTTGATTAGGGCTACAGAAGATCCCATTTTCTATCCAAAGTTTTCCTATCCAACAAGACTTCATGGTGTCTTAAGTTACACAGCGACTTTTACTGTAGGACTCCTGAAAAAACAAAAGATATGGTCTAGTCAGTGTTAACCCATAACAGTCAAAGCAGGGAAAACTCCACTAATTTGAATCTGCAAAAAAAGTTATATGTAAGTAACCTTTAATCTGACATTAAATATCAATGTCCTGTATTTTTTTTACATAATAGATGTCAACTGTTTCAGAATGAGCTTCAGTGTTTTCCCTTACTTTAAAACAAAGCTGGTACTGATATTTGGAACAGTATTTCAGATGTGAGATGGAACAGTCGCTATTTAAGCCCAGTTTGTTAGTGAGAAGTGGGAGTAATGTTTATGCTGCTTTTGTTTATGACCTCTGAGGATATTTACCATAAAATTTCCTCTGCCTCTTCCCTCACTCTAACATCCTTCAGTATACAGTTGCTGCCTGCCAGTTACTGCCCCCAAACAAATGCAACATGGTGACAAAATATTACTGCAAGTAATAGTTGGGTACTTTTCAATAAAGTATGCAGTAGTGGCATTTATATATACTTCTTTTTGCGAGGATGTGCAGCACCATGTTTTTTGCTGCTTATGTGCTCATGTTTTCTGCTACTTCTGCACAGCAGAAATGGATTTAATAGAAAGATGTAGACAAACAAGTATTACAAAAGCCTGTTTATTTCCTGGCAAAACACATCTGCATGCTCTGACACATTTATTTGTAGGTCACCAAGTGAGTCAGGCCCAGCGTGCACTTGCCAGCTACAAAATCAGTAGTCAAGTACCTAGAAATCCCACTTCATTTTGCACCGAAAAATTAAGGCAACATTACTCTTTAGAGAGAAAACGGTAAATATATAAAAACCTGAAAACCATGGGGAATCTAAAATCAGGATCACTGCTTTCCCTTACAGAGATCATGATCAGCCAGCCATACTGACTTATTTCAGCTTATGGAAAAGTGGTAAAAAGTGCAAGCTGGAGGTCTCTGTGAGAGAGAGCATGGGAGCACAGAACCCCCAGGTGCCCCACCCTGTTGGACTAAAGGTGCACACAACACAAGGAGGTACCACTTTTTAGGTTCAGCATTGGTATTTAGAAGAGCTATGTGGAGTGCCCTGCTCCAGGCCTGATTAAAGGCTGAGTATTCACCAGAGCATCCCTCGCCATGGATGTCTTGCTGCACAGCCCACGGACAGCACCAGCATTTCCCAGAAAGTGGCAGGATCTGGAGGATGGCAGGACTCATCTACAGGGGTTAGAAGTGAAAGCCCTATCACCAGGAAAAAATTATTACACCAGAAAAAGATCCTGAAACCATTCTTGTGTTCTTCCTTCTCCATGGGTAAAGGAACTGAAAACTGAAAAGTTTAAAAGAAACTGAATTTTATATAATGTGTATGTATTCAAAACAAAAAAGAAATAATTAATTTATTAGTCATCAGTCATATTTGAATATGAATATATATCCACTTCTACTTCATGAATGAAAAGTGCTTTATTTTCTCTCGGTCTTTATAAAGGCATGCATCACCAATACTATTTCTAGCTACCCTACACCTGATTTTTCTTCATGCTTTTCATTGGCAAGTCAGAACTAAACTGTCCTCCAAACTCTGCTCAACCAGTAAGTTATTCCCTTTGTCCTGGGAAAACTGATGGACCCATCTTACCCTTTGTCTTTCCACCTTAGCCATAGCAAGCTCTCTGATGGACTTTCAACCCAGAAAATATCTTTAATAGCAAGAGTGATACCCAGCAGCACGTTGCTGGGTAGCAGTAACTCTGCCAGAGTGGGTGAATGCAGCCCATCAGAGCCCATGCCCTCCCCTCCCCAGCTCCTCTTCATTGCTGACTCCCAGCCAGCCCTTCTGCTTTGCTTTGCTTCCTCCCTGCTCTCTTCCCTCCCCGCTTCCTCCTCCCTTCCCCAGGCACCCAGACAAGGAGGTACAAAAAGGAGAATTCAAACTTTGGTTTGAACTGCTCTTTGATGAAAAGAACAATCACTAGAAGCATAACAGAGTCAGCACTGCAAATGTTGGAGTTCCAGTCTGTTTCGATGAAGACAGTGAATAACACTTTTTTCAAAGGTTGTTTGCGCAGTACACAAGGACACATTGAGATCTGCCTGTGTTTGAACACTGAAGTTTACACAGCACCCAGGCTGAGTGCTACAGGGCCCAAAACTAAGTGGCTCTTCTTATTTTATTTTCTACACACCCACTAATGAGTTTGCATCAGTATAGAGAGTCCATCAGGTGAAAAAAAAAAAAAAACAACATGGTCTCAATTTGTTTTTTTCTCTTTAGATTTGCTGTCCTTTATTTACAACAGTGGCAAAATAACTTCAATCAAAATGAGGTTAAGATTATTTTTAACAGATGTTCACTGCTGGCCTGACCCAAAATCCATTGACGTCAATGAGAAGACTCCATGGGGCTTTTCTAACTGTTGGAAAAATTAATGTTATTGTAAACCACTGGTCAGTGCTGTCACATGCTCTCCTTCTGTGCCAATTCTATATGACCGGATAACAGCTTCACATAAATCTGTTCCAACTGTTGTCTAAGAGGCTAAAGGACACAGAGGTTTATCTCTTTAATTCTGAACTGCCCCTGCTCCTTCCTTAGCACACCCCATGGCCCTACTGTATTTACATTTGACAGACTGAGCATTATGGGCTACTCACACAATCACAGCATTTCACAGCCAGACACTGAGTGGAAATAATGGAATTAATGCTGACTGTGTGAAGACAGCTGAGCTGCAGATACATATGGGATGAGATAGTTTGGTTCATACACTTTCAATAGAGATTTTTATTTGTTTCCATTTAAATACAGACCTGAAGGAAGAGTTGCACTTACTGTTAAGAAGACGGAAGTCTATAAATGGGTAGGAGCCGCGGCGCTCGGAGACAACCCCTGTCTGACCTCTCACCCGTGCATCTCCTGCAAAACACAAAATCCCCCGAGACATTAGAAGGGGCAGCTGCCTTTCTCTGCTGTTTTGATCTAAGTCTATTTTTTAATACAAAGTGACGACATTACACTCCTCCAGTGGGAAAACTAAGGTCCAAAAAATCATCTCCCACGACATCCCTCGGTAATTGGGAAAAGCAGTACAGCTGATCCTCTTATCAGAACAAAGACACAAAAACGCTTCATTGCTGGCTGAGATTAAACAACAATATCCTATTGAACAACTTCTTGCTATGCAAGGAGACATTGCTTCACAAAAAGTGCACACATCTACCTTTTTTTTTCTCAAGCAAGAACAGGTAGGACTCTGACTGTCATGGTTTCACATACAAAGGTCCCAATCTGCACTAGGCTCACAATCCAATGGACCTCCACAGTTGTGTGACTGGTCTCAAAACCATCAGCTGATGAAAAAATCCCCCTCAAAAAGTACAAAGATGTTTTTGCACTTAGGTGGTTGGTTTGTATGTTTGTTTGTTTTTGTTTTACTTTCTGCTCTTTGAGCACTCTGGAAAATTCAAGCCTTCTCCTCAAACACTGCAGCTGTTTCATGTCAGTGAAAACCTGATGTTCTCAGATAAGCATTACTCTGGAGTGTTAGTATGTATATTTAAAGGTGATGAAGTGCCAACACTATACTCAGAATTAATATTGTGTATTGCTGTGCAATTCACAAATACTAGTTCCTGACTTACCATGTGATATTGATGAAATAGGCAAAACTAATTTAAGGAGAAAAATGCTCCCCAGGATATATAAGAGTTACAAAACCTCTCTCCAAGTAGACAGGAACTAGTGGGGAAGCATAAGTCATTTTTATGTTTCCCTAATTTTAAGTATCTTGTAGTGAAATGTAATTGTTCCTTTACTGGCAATCAACAAGACCTAAATATTAAAAATTCTTACATAAGATGAATTTTGGAGACCTTGAGGTTCTAGTTAGAGTACTCTAGTTCTTCACCATACTAATTCCTCTTCTACAGAAACAGAGACCACAGTGTTGAAAGCATACCCACTGCCCATCCCTACACAGCTCACACTGTAGCCCTAATAAAGTTTGTAATGAAGTATGAATTTCTAGTTAGTTTGAATTGCATTTCCTCTGGGATACAAATATAGCATCCGACTAACCTAAACAATAATTTAAGAATTTGGCTGCTAATATTAGTTTCTACTGTTTGTGTTTAAAAACAAGAAAACACCTTGTAGAATAAAGAAGGACCTAGTTAAATGCTGTTATTTTTTTTTCTATCTATGTTCACTTAAAATGTGCTTACAATTATGTTTAAGGGAATAAAGCCAAATAGAATTATTAAGTTAAATATCTGAGGTGGAGAAAAACTTCCGTGCCCTCTAGGGGTCCTTAGAGATACGAAAGACACAAGAGAGTGCATGCAAATTAAGAATATTTCAAACACAGTCACTTTTAATTATAAATATAAATCTAGGTTCTCTCACCCTTACTTTCACTTTGCTTTTTTGTTCCCAGAGACAGAACACATGTTCCCTGTTCTCGGCTCCGGCTTGCCAACCTCTGTAAGGAACCAGTCCAAAACAACTCAAGCTGCTGTTGCCCCACTTACCCCTTCTGATAGCAGGGGCAGGAGGTGCAAACCTCTACCTGCTCTTCAGCTGTTCCACTTCAAAGGTATGGTAATAATGCCGTGGGTCTACCTTCATCAGCAGCTTAAAATTACACGCAATGTAATTGTGGCAATGAAGGCACAAGAACCCATCCCCCGCGATCCTTGCATTAAAGAGTAGAAGGGTGGAGCAAATAGCTGGAGAGTTTGTAAAACACCGACACAAAATTCATCAGCACTCACAAGCCAGAGCCCATGGAGCAGCATCCAGACTTAAAAGCATTGCTCTCTGCCACAGGTAACCCCATCAGATTGGCTCACGTGTGCAGAAAGAGTAAGAATGGCAAGCACATGGTACACATTATATAAACTCAAAAAAATCAGGCAGGCTTGAGCCTGCTACTAATCCAGGCATCAGCAAATTAAGAACGGGTGTGAATTCAGAGCATGCCTTGACCAACGCTTATGTTTTTCTGCAGGCACCAATGAATTAACAGGAATCTGCAAGTTATCCCCTGCATTACACACTGATAAACATGTCACTTGTGACTGTATCAGAAGAGACATTAAAAACAAAAAAAGGAGAAATCCAGACTCCAAAAATCTGAAAAAACACCCAAAGCATATGATACTATAAAACCAGCAAGACTGATATTTTTTTCTAGGCATGAAATAATACATCCAACAAATCAGAGGAGGTACCACAGTACTAGAGAAAAAGAAAATAATATAGTCATGTATCAAAAGGATTGCTTACAATAGTGTGAACCCAAATTTTGAGGAAGAGACCACTAAAGGAAGGTAGGCAACTGTAACACGGAAGAAAACAAAAGGTGGGCTTACCAAAAGTAGACCATACAAGATACTTAATTACCTCAAATAAAATAACTAACTGTTAGACAAAAGGAAAAGAAAACAATACTGTAGAGCAATTCAACAATATGGATCTTGTTAAACATACAAGAGAAGGCAAGAGATGAGTACAAGAACTGAAGACTAAACATAAGAAGATAACACAGTGGACTGAAAGGAAACTTTTGCTTGGGAACAGTTACTCAATAATCTCCATGATATTTAGAAAACTCATGCTGGGAATGGTCCTAAACAATTTTTCTTGATGATCTTGACACAGGAGAGCACTACTGATACTTGAGGATAACACAATGATGGGAGATACCAGGTATTAACAGCAACAGCTATTTTAAATCCAGTTCACTGCTGCTGTCACCTCTTCTGTCCCAACTGCTCTGTGGCCCAGATGCCTGGATGTTCCCAGTAGCCCAGCTTCCTCCCACAGTACTGCTGTCTCATATAGAACTACAGACTAGCCAAATAAGATGCTTATGAACACTATTCCAAGTAATTTCAGCAAACAGAGGAAAAACAATGGAGTTATCGATGCAATTAGTAAGAAATGTGAATGAGTTTTACTGAACTAGCAAACCCCAGGAATGGAAGTCATGAAAAATTAGTGATGATTCCAATTGGTTATTTGTATAACTTTACATTTTTTTACAGCTGATGTAATTTTGGGTGTCTCTAGCACTACAGGATCCTGTACGCAGAATAAATCTGTATCCCTGCTGACTTAGGAAAAGCCACTAAAATCTTTATATTCTTATATGATTATTAACTTTATCCTGAGGGAAGGCAAGTTTCTGATGAGTCAAAGATGTTATCGAGTTGCTCTACCTCATGAATCTGTTATTTCAAAATACTTCATCAGGTGCCACCTAGTCTCTCTCTACATCATTAGAGAAAGATTAGTTAGGAAGTGGTGGTGGGCTAAAACTACCACACCTCCCCTTCCTCCATTTTTTCTTGGCTCACATATTTGGAAAATATTTATATTCTTCCCTATTAATTTTAATTACATCTAACTACACTCAACAGAGAGACTAAGAACAGGGATTACACCAGATATGCAACTTATCACATTAATTTCCAAGAGGCAAGGAACATTCATAGCAACACATTCAATGTTATTTTTTTGTTTTGGCAGATGAATTTGATGCTGACTTTCATCAGTCCACCAGACCTTTACATCTCTCTGTCTCCATCTTAAAAATCAAGCTAAGCAGTCATTCTGACAATTTATGCAATTAGGAGTTTTAAATAAATAATCCTTTTTAGAGTGAAAGGAAGGAATTCTATGGAAGCAAGGCAGGAAATTGTGTTCCCAAATGAAACAAGCAGGGTGAAGGGAAATGGTCAGGGTACAGGTTCTCCTCGACTGCTTTGGGCTGAAGATGCAAAACTGGAACATCTGCAGCTGCCAACACCAGGGGCTGCACCCTCACTGGTGCCAAACTGCTACAAGAGCTTCCAGCAGGGACATCTCCCAGGAGCTGCTGTGCTCTTGAATATTACTTTGTCCTTGTTAAAACAGGCAAGAGCACAAACTAAATAAACCGAAGCAACCTATATAAACTGTGACTGATATGCATAAGAAAAACAGCTATAGGGCAAGAACCACGGCACTACTGCAGCCATAGCATCAAGGACACTTCAAAATGGTTCAGAAGGGTTAAGAAAAAAATGAGGCAGCTCTTAACTGCCTTTCACATCTGGAGGAAAGAACCATCTGCACCGAGGAAAACAACTTCTCCAAGACTTGCCTGAAACAGCGTGTGATTCAATTTCACTGAGCAAGCACAACAAATTGGGAGAGAAAACAGGGCCATAGCTGTGACAAAACAACAGAGTAGCTTCATCCAGCAGAAGTTAGGGCCAACCACTGTATTATTGATTCTATTTAGTACATAGCTCCATGTGGTAAATTGGGAATACCACAGCAAATTCACAAGAGGTTACAAGTATTTATTCCAGTCAAGCTTTCTTACAATCTACATTCCAGTATTTCTTAAGTTGACTGTTCAGGGTACATACTGCAGTGGCTGACGACTTTTCATGGAAAACCAAGCAGCAGTAGTAAGGCCTCTTGTGGACTCCATGGAGCCCATGGCTCCTCCACTATTTCAGTTATGAACAGGCTTGGGATTTTTGACCTGAAGGTAGAGGGCTTGATGATGTTTTAAGCATCAATCTGGTTTTACTGGGAAGGTTTCTAAAAGAGAGAAGTGTTGCTCTGTAAAAGCAGCAAACTCAAATGAAAAGCTACATTAGAAGTGAGTACCAGAATTACTGGAATTATATTTTTATTTGAAGAGATCTAATGCTTGTTTGTGGTGATTCATGCTGGTTTGGATTCTTTTCATTCTGTTGTATTAGTGCTAAAAGTGTTACTGTAAATTCTTGTTTGTCAAAGGCATTTTATAAAGATTTCTCATGTGCATCAGATCTTCTGAACAAAACCATTTCCTCTGAACAGATAAAAAGAGACTGATTTAAGGCTTACAGACTCAGGACGACTCCCCTTTGGAGCAG